TAATGTTTATGAAATATTAATGTTATATGGTCATTGGGCCAAGTGGGAGAATGTAAGAATTATTATTAATTATTTCTTACTTATGACCCAAGTTTACTTGTAACCCAAGTAATACCATAAATAATATTTAATAAGGAATAGATCTCGTCCGTACATTGGTTACTTGATGGACGTACCAGATTAAGTCATAACCTCTATAAATTGGTCCTCCCTCCACCCATTAGGGTTACCACATATTCTCTACAATAATTCCATCGCTGACGGTTGTGGTAACATAAAGTAAGGGCAAGGAGGTAGAAACCAATTTACAATTAACGCTTCCGCTTCTCTCTGTGTTAATGTCTTCTGCATCAGGTATGTGCCTCTAACATTCTCTATGTAAGATTATCATGTTCAAGATCCTGATATTATGTATTAAAGTATTTAATCTTACAGTTTCATCATACATAATATCTATGTAAGTTATGCATGAATTTATATATTATTTTATGTCAGATAAAATATGAAATATGCATGAATATGAATATTAGGTAATACATAAATTAAATATTAAAATGAGCAAACAAACCCTTATAATAATATGAGTTAAATTATTTCTCCTTTACTAAAATATTTTTATGATGTTCAATAAAGTAAAAGTTGTTGATCATCCGTAAAATTAACCCTATCTTAATTAAACAAATGGATACTATATTGCTTAGACTAATCTCTTTATATAATGACTCTTTTTAAAGTTTTTATTTAAACAAATGTCTTCATTTAGTGATTTATCCTAGGAAATATTGACTAAGTGAGTTGCCATCTATAATGCTAAAATTCAATACATTAATTTAAACTTTGAAAGAACCATCTAATAATTTCTTCTATTCTTGTTGGCAAATATATTATATTATCCTGTTTCCATTTTTAAACAACATTTCCCATTTTTAAAAGCATTGGCATTTATGTTCACCACACTGCTATATTATATGTCATACTTTATAATTAAATATGGTATCGCATGAGGGAGGTTAGAGATCATTCTCCCTGTAAACGCCTTTTCAGTCGAGCTTGTCATACTATGTAAATCTGGTGCGGTTTACATCTCTTATGTTGTTTGCGAACTACTCCTTTTATTTCAGTTCATATGACTTACTTTTCTTTTTAGTCCGTCCCAAAAAGAATGACATATGTCTATATTAAGTAATAATTTAGCTTTAAAATTCATATTTTATCCTTAATGAACTGATTTATAGTCACACAAATATCTATCACTTTTTTTAGACCACAAATTTCAAAAATCTTTCTTTCTTTCTAAAATGTCATGTCAAGTCAAACTAACTCATATAAATGAGACAAAGGGAGTATTACACAGGAGCGGGTTTATCAGTACGCATTCAAAGAATAGCGAATGCAGATTTTCCTGACATTCCAATAAAAAATAAATTAAATCCATGAAATTGTCAACTTCCTAAGATGCCGGCCAATAAGCAACTTTGTACAACCTCTTTTTTGTAGTACAATCAAATCCAAAAGTCAAATTTGTACTGCAAAAATACTACAATCATTAAAATTTTCAGTCTAATAATTATACTTCTTTTTATACATCAACTAATTTAAACTAATTTTCATAGCACAACACCAATAATAAGAAATGATCATGACTTCCATAAAAAAGTCAACTACTCTGTTAACACTAGTCCTGTTTTTGTTCTTGCAATTTTTCACTATCAATGGTCATGGTGGTGCTGATGATGATGATGAACATGATTCAAATGGAGATGCAAATACAAATTTACGCGCGAAAGGATTGATTCTTGTTAAAATTTATTGCTTGATCATACTCTTTGTAACCACATTTGTTGGTGGTGTATCGCCTTATTTCTATCGATGGAACGAGGGGTTTCTCTTGTTAGGAACTCAATTTGCTGGTGGTGTTTTCTTAGGGACTTCTTTGATGCATTTCTTGAGTGATTCTGCTTCAACTTTTGGTGTACTTACAGAAAAAGAGTACCCTTTTGCCTTCATGTTGGCTTCTGCAGGTTAATTACTAAAGATAGATGTTATGTTACAATATATTTACCAGTCGTAGAAGATAACCTATCTTATTAAATCTCACTTTTTATAATCTTTAGGAGCTTTGATAGTTTGAAACTTTCTTTATACTACTGATGACATATATAACTTAAATTCTTATCTATTGTTATTGCATCATAACCGTATTCATGTCAAATCCTCCAAATGCAAAACTGTCACACATCTGACAACATTTTTCAAGAGTCATGAAGGACGCACATTCAAATAAAATATGTAATTTTTTTTTTAATTTATGACCTTCATTTATTTTTTGTAGGTTACCTTCTCACTATGTTTAGTGATTGCATTATTATGTTTGTGACAAGGGGTGTAAATGAATCAAGTGAGTCCAAAGTTGAAGTGGATGAAGAAGGAAGGTCAACTAATATTGATGAGGGACATGGAACAAATCCATTTCTAAAGACAACTTCACTTGGGGATACAATACTTCTCATTCTTGCATTGTGTTTCCACTCTATTTTTGAAGGCATTGCTGTTGGAGTATCAGGTAAACAAACTACTGGTAGTATATATAATCTTTTCTTTATTTATGTAGAGAGAATATCTCCGGGAGATTTTATATAGACACTAACAGTATAAAGAATTTTTACAAAATTATTTTAAGTCTAACTTGATAGTGTTAAAAAAATCTACACACTATTAACCTAGAACATCTAGGGAATGAGTTACATGGAGGATAAGAGGCTATTTTTTTTAAAAACAATTTAGAGTTTTACCTTATTTAGTTTCATTTCATATTTGCTTTTGTAAAAAACCATTTACTCATTGTGATCATCCTAATTTAATAATACCACCGAGGGATATGGTAGGATCCGATACATACCTTCCTCCATCTTTAACCAAATGTCTCGCATTCAAGCTCTGAGAAAAAAAAAATCTTTCAGTATATATAGGGAAAACTTTGTTCAACTTAGTATGCCTATATGCCTCGAATATGGATACCTAGTCGGGTCAATACATAGGTCTCAGATAATTGCCCAAAAAAAGAGAATCATCTTTAATAATGTGTTTTAGTGTTGAGTATTTTGCCCTGAGTTTCTTAGCATAAATAAGTTTTCCTTTTCCTAAAAGAAAAAAAAATTAAA